ATATAAATCTTTATAATTAATAAATTAAAATTTAAAATAAAAAAATATATATATAACGAGTTCTTGTATATTACTATGTGCTGCAATGCATACTATATATAAATTCTATTACAGTGAATTTTGCGAGCGAATTATCTTGTGTAATTCGCTTATATGGTCATGCAGTATCACAGGCAGAACTAACATGACATTTGAAGAAGCTTTACAATGTGAAGAAAATGCAAAGAAGAGCTTGAAAGAGTTTCCAATGGAGGTATAAATATCATAATTTTGTATAATTTGTTGAATTAACATGGGTATGCTTATAAATAATATATCTATTATTTTGTATTTTTCAGTTACGAATCCCTATACTATACCTTGCTAGTAAAACAAATAGATCTTCTTTTAATGAGATGATTGAAGATGTTTACCAATTTGCGAGAGATCGTTATTTTGTGGGGGAAATGGTAGAGGCTAGCTTTACTGAAGAATCTTGGTGTGATTGTCATGTTCTTCAAGTTATTGTACCTACAGAACAGCAAATTAAGGCATATATAAATGAAAATGGCAGGTAAATATAATGTAATTTATTAAATTATTTTGCACATTATCAATTTTTAGCTTTATTATTGAATATTCTAGGAATCTACAAGAACAGTATTATCACCCACCAGCAAAATTATTTCGTTATGAGGTAGAACAATTAGATTCTGGAGATTCTGATGTCAGTCAACTCATGATAGTAGAAGCATCTCAAGTCAGAAGACAAAAACAACATTATAGCAGAGAACGTAATAAGATATTCCTTCGGCAACTCTGTGAACAAAATGATAGCGGTATATGGGTTGTTAAGGTTAATACAGAATATTAAACAATTGTTTGAAAACATTTATACATCTTTGTAACATGTAATTCTCATTCCCTTGCTGTAGGAAAGTGTTTTGGAAAAATATGGAATTAATAAAGTACGTTTTGATACTATTTTTGCTGGCACACTTCCAGATTTTACAGTGCGTGTGAAAAAATCTGTCAAACAGAAACAAGAATCCATAGATAAATTTCTCACCTCAGATGTATCAAAACAAAGAACATTTGAAAAAGCAGATCCACTGAAAAAAGTTAGCGATGGTAAAAAGCCGAATGATACTGGTGCAGTAAAGAAATTTCGAAAACCAAGGTAAAAGTTATTCAGTATTTGTTTCAAAGAACTCTTGTCTATCTAATATTTTTTTAATGTTGTCAAATGTTTTATCAACAGAATGAATGGCAAATTTAAAGAAGAACTTAAAGCGAAAGCTTTGGAGGAGAAAGCAAAACGTAAAGAAGAAAGAGCGCTGAAAAGCGAACATAAGAAGGAGAAAAAACAAAAGTTAGCAGCTTTGGCTGCATACATGAAGCAGTGGAATAAACCGAGAGAAGATCTCGAATGTGAAGATCTTTGTCCCCTTCCTGAACCTACTGTTATTAAATGCAACATACCAAACGAAAAATTTGGAGATTTTGTTATGATATCGGAATTTCTTGAATTTTTCAATGAAGAATTAGAGGTATCAGTATATTTTCCGGGAGGCTTTAGTTTCGAATTGTTGGAAAAAACATTATTGACCAAAGAAGCATCTGGTCCCTGGAGTGATCTGTTACAACTGTTATTATCCAATATATTTAAATATCAAGCGGGAGAAGATAATGAAATTGATGCTCAAGCATCTACTTTGCTGGATGATATTAGTCCTTATGAAGGCGCATCATCAATGGCAAAGGCTGTAAAACTTGCTACAATGGCTTCTAGATGGTGTCCAACTTATCAGGGATGCAAACTATCAGAACTTACATTAGACCATGTAACTTTGAGTGAAATTTTGAGACAACATTTATTAAGTTCTGGAGGACGTATAAGCGAAGCGGCTTCTAAATGGCGATATTCTCAAAAGGGTATGTATGTGTATGATATGTATCATTTAATTTATTTAATATTTAATGTTTTTCCTTTATACACACATTATCTGTTGTAGGTGGCTATACAAATTTTGACGAACCAGCACTTCTTCTGAGGGTAAATGACGGTTATATTTTGCGATTATTAGGTCACCGAAATGTTTGCGAATTTGATTTAGATGACAAAATAAAAGTCGTCACATGTCTGATTAATCAGTTGCTTACTTTCGCATCAATACGTGACGCAATCGAAGAGCGATATGATAAACTACATCAAGCAAAGAGAGAGTTAAAGTTGTTTTTGCTTGCTGAACAAAAGAAGGAGAAAGAGGAAAAAGAAAAGATGCGGGAACGCGAGAAAGAAGGAAAACTTGAGGAAGAAGAGCCAAAGGTAAAAAAAGTTACACGTGGCAATTATGAGGAAGAAAAGAAAAGGGAAGAATATGAAAACAAACTGAAAGAATTACAGCAAGCTTCAAGGGATGACAAGATGATGCTTTATCTGGGCTCAGATAGAGCTCATCGAAGATATTGGAGATTTATATCTATACCAGGTTGCATTTCTAAATACTTATTGTCATAAAATATTAAATGAAAATTAAATATAGGGGAGATTAAAAACTGAACTAAAAGAATTAAATTTTCCCAGTTTGATTATCAATTCTTTTTTTGTAGGATTATTTGTAGAAAATGATGAACGCTGGCCTGGAAGTTGTCTTCCCGAGGGTACTCCACATCATCCAGAATTACAAGATAAGGAGGCAACGTATGCATATCTAAAAAATAAATTTGAAGATGAATTTAGCGACAAAGAGAACAGTTTCAAAAAATCAAAGAAGTCACCCAAGAAACTATTATCCTCGGATAAAAACGGAGTTAAATCGCCACGCAAAGAAACAAATTCACGAAAGGAATTTAAGCAAGATCTCACTAACATTAAAAAGAGCTTGATGTTGTGTACAGGAGATAAAGACTGTCCTGTGCATTGCAAGAGATCGCAGGTTACCTGGAGCTTTTATGGAAATCAAGAAGACATACAAGCGCTAATCGTCACATGTCTGATTAATCAGTTGCTTACTTTCGCATCAATACGTGACGCAATCGAAGAGCGATATGATAAACTACATCAAGCAAAGAGAGAGTTAAAGTTGTTTTTGCTTGCTGAACAAAAGAAGGAGAAAGAGGAAAAAGAAAAGATGCGGGAACGCGAGAAAGAAGGAAAACTTGAGGAAGAAGAGCCAAAGGTAAAAAAAGTTACACGTGGCAATTATGAGGAAGAAAAGAAAAGGGAAGAATATGAAAACAAACTGAAAGAATTACAGCAAGCTTCAAGGGATGACAAGATGATGCTTTATCTGGGCTCAGATAGAGCTCATCGAAGATATTGGAGATTTATATCTATACCAGGTTGCATTTCTAAATACTTATTGTCATAAAATATTAAATGAAAATTAAATATAGGGGAGATTAAAAACTGAACTAAAAGAATTAAATTTTCCCAGTTTGATTATCAATTCTTTTTTTGTAGGATTATTTGTAGAAAATGATGAACGCTGGCCTGGAAGTTGTCTTCCCGAGGGTACTCCACATCATCCAGAATTACAAGATAAGGAGGCAACGTATGCATATCTAAAAAATAAATTTGAAGATGAATTTAGCGACAAAGAGAACAGTTTCAAAAAATCAAAGAAGTCACCCAAGAAACTATTATCCTCGGATAAAAACGGAGTTAAATCGCCACGCAAAGAAACAAATTCACGAAAGGAATTTAAGCAAGATCTCACTAACATTAAAAAGAGCTTGATGTTGTGTACAGGAGATAAAGACTGTCCTGTGCATTGCAAGAGATCGCAGGTTACCTGGAGCTTTTATGGAAATCAAGAAGACATACAAGCGCTAATAGATAACTTGAGTACAAGGGGTATTAGGGAGAGCGAGCTTAGAAATAATCTTTTGCAAGAGATGGACAATTTGCTTCTTGTTATCAATGACTGTTCTAAATATAGATTAAATCCCGACATTGTAAGTATATCTTTGTATAAGTCATTATGTATATATATCTATCTATTTTCACACTATATATATAATTACATGCAATTAAGAGATAAAAATAACTAGATTTTCATGCATAGTTTTCAGATTCCAATAAAGGGCAAATCAATAAGACATCTAAGAAGAATAAGTATGAGAACGCGAATTTGAATTTTCCTCCCGATGTGGCGGTCGAGGAAGTAATAGAAATGACATTGAGAGATCACATTTTGGATTTTGAAGATAAAATCAATGCAGGTTGTTTGGGATCTCTTAAGATTATCGATCGCGCGGTCTGGAGAAACGCGATCAATCAGAGAAGTTATGACAAACAATGTGATAAACTGATGTGTGCCGGTAGTGAGATAGACATAGATATACTACCTTCTAATACATTGATAGACAAGATAAAGAACGAATCTAAACACAGTAGACCCGGTACCCCCGATTCTGAGGTCGGAAGTATTAGCGTAAAGACTTACAGAGATCCAGGAATGTACTTAGGTTTACCCAGCGAAGATGAAATGGCGATCGATCAAAGGCAACAGGCGGCTATCAAACAGATGGCTTGTGCTATTTTGCAGTTGTCCCACGCTATAGAACAGAGATATTTGCAGAGACCGCTTGGACCCGATCAAAAAGACAAGAAATGGTCGGGCGAAGAGGCTCGGGAGAGATGGGAACAGTCATTGATAGCGTCAACCAATTGGTCTCAGTTGTTTGTTCACTTGAGTACTTTGCATAATAGTGTCGCGTGGGACAGAAGCGCGTTAAACGCTCAATGTCGCATATGTCGAAGGCGTAGAGACGCGGAGAACATGTTGCTTTGTGACGGATGCAACAGGGGACATCATCTCTATTGTCTAAAACCGAAACTTAACGTAATTAATAGTTTATATTATCTGATTGAAGATAGATTGAATTCTCTCGTTTATCATTTTGTTATTTATTTAGGCTGTACCGCCAGGAGATTGGTTTTGTACAGCGTGCAGACCACCGGAGATAAAACCCAAGGAAAAAGCGAAAAAGCGAAAAAGATTCGAAGATGAAGTCGAGGACGAAGCAATACTGACCAAAGAAACGCGACACAATCGCGCGAAGCGCATATCTCACAGCGATGATGAGAATGATCAAGAAGACGATCAAGACGACGAAGATAGCGAGGAAGATATGTAAGCTAGCTTTTTGTAATATTCAAATTTGTTTCCTTTTTTTAATTTTTTGACTTGTGTGTTTTTGATTGTCCTTTTCAGAAATGTACGACTAGAAAACTTATGCGCATCATGTAAAAGTGGTGGAAAACTGATCTCCTGCGACACATGTCCAAATCATTATCATTTAGAATGCGTAGAACCGCCATTATCGAGGGCTCCTAGAGGAAGATGGTCTTGTTCTAAATGCAAGGCTAAAAGAAGGAATGCAACAAAAGGTAATGAAAGAATGTTGACCATCTTAAAAATCTTATTCTCCTTCTGTTATAAGTCAAAATTTTTCACTTACTGCCTATTGAAATTATAGAGAGATAAACAAGTTGTGATAAAAAATATTATAAGAAAGTTTCTTAGCGTTAAAATTATGTTGATAGTGAGGGGGCGCGAAAGGGAGTGCGCAGCAGCAGCACGCTCTCGCATCCATGGCTTTGCCAAGAGCCTCCTCACTACAGAATCTACAGACTGGGATGGTCTGTATCGTATCCCTCTCTTTTTACTGTGTGTATATATGTGTGCAGCATTTCCCTTTCATGGCTAATCCTCTTTCTTTTTTGGAAAGCACTGCACGTTAAGAATAATGGATCCGTTCATCGTTAAAATATCTGAATATTTTTTATAATTCTGCATTAAAAATTTTGAGATATATATGAACAATAAAGTAAAATAAACCTATCAATAAATTTTTTCCATCTTTTAAAATATTCTCTTCTCTATTAAAATTAAAGCTATTATGGACAGACCCTAATACAGCATTGTACATCTTTATACATATAAATATTTCATTTACATCTTATTGTCTTGGCAATGAAATATGCTATTGCTAACTCATATATCATAAAAATGTCAGCTATCACTAGAATTTTTATTTTTTAGCATAGACTTGTAAATTGAACATTTTGAATTGAGATGAAAAATGTGATATGCACTAGCTAAATGCAGAATTTTTAAATGTACAGATAGCAGTGCATCGGATGATACCGAACCGAGACAAACGCGACGTGCGACGAAGAGGGCCGCCGAAATTGAACACGAGGAAGACAAAAATTCAATCAAGGGATGTATGGCTAGACTGCAAGAATTATTGACTGATATTAGGCATCATAGAGATTCGTGGCCATTTCTGTCGCCTGTCACAAAGGATGAGGTCCCAGATTATCACGATATCATTTCTAATCCAATGGACTTTGGGACTATTAAATATAAATTAGGAAACGGCGATTATGAGACGCTAGATAAATTCTTTAGCGATTGCCAGCTGATTTTTGAAAACTGCAGATTGTACAACAAGGAACATAGTTCTGTCTACAAGTATGTATCAACATTATTGTTATCTATTTTATGCAAGTTCGGATGCCAGAGACTACAATGTTAATTAATACGCAGGATTAATTTATGAACTTCATGCTATTAACAATAGCTACACACACACATACGCACACATACATTTTAATTAACATTACAATTATTACTAACAACAAAAGGATAAATTAGCATCTTTATATCGGTTTTTGTATCATTTGTATACTAATGGCTTGATGTATATATATAAGTAATTTCTAAAATATGATTCAAGTTGAATTGATAGAATATCACAAATATAAATCTGCACATATGGTGTTTAGGCATATAGTTAAATAACAACAGAAACAATTATTATTATACAAAATGCTATAAACTAGATGATAATAATTAGATGATTAAATGTGATTAATTATTCTTGATTGTTCAGTGAAAGGAATCAGCTTTTCTTAAATCTGTTTACAAAGTTTATGAAGCACGCTATTTCTGTAACCTTTAATACATCCCAGATAAGGCTTTGCTGTTGTGTTGATCCTGAAATAATCTTTGGCCTCCGAACCATTTTGGGAATACATATAAAAAGAGCGAAAGTATGTTTTGTTAAAAATAGTTATGTATATAGTGCAGGTACGCGATTACACAAGTACTTTGAGAAACGCTGCAAAGAATTAGGCTTGAATTTCGAACTTTTCCAAGAACCTAAGGTTAAGAGGACAAGATTCGACGACGATAATATCGAAGAAAATTGCACGTCGGATAGCGAGGACGATGAAGCACAGAAGAGAAGATAGAATAAAAAAAATATATACATATATATATACTTTAGCATAGAGTACATACTCGTGAGATTTAAAAATCTGATACCGCTCAAGAAGTTTATATATTTTGAATTTAGCATATGGACTTATATACCGATAATTGATCACGAGCGGTATACAGATTCAGTATGTAGCTCAAGATATTTTATAAATTATATAAACACTTTTTTTCACAGTGAGTAGTGACAAATTACATTGACAACTCGATGGAATAGTACAACTGAATGAAAATTACTTTGCAAAATCAACAGCACACATATATATATATAATGTACGAAAGATTTTTTTTTCTCTCTAAAGTCGGTTTCTTCGAGGCTTGTTATAATAACGATATATGCAGTATTATTTGCAGAATTGCATACTCGCACTACGTATATTTTAGATGCATTGCACATACACAGAATTTTACAGCAAACATATACAGCTAATTAATTTCATTGGCTTTATTCAATTTTAAGTTTTCTTTTTTTTTTTTTTAGATATAGAAACAAGAAAAAATTCTCAATATATTTTCACATTGACAATTATTTATTATTTTAGTGTTATTCACATATATACACGCGCGCGCGCGCGCGCGCGCACACACACACACGTCAACACATATTCTTCGCAGTAGTTATATTAAGAATCATTAACTGTATATGAATGAAAATTATGTTGTGAATTAAGCTCTATCAATTTCTTTTCTCGAAACCGTTTATACACAAGGTTTAATTATAGAATATACAGTTTTCAAGAAAATATATAAAACAAACGCATTAGCAAATTTATGTTTGTAGATCCAGACAATAAAATTGGATACTTTTGTACTGCGTGTTCTATATAACTATTGTCAAACTAAAGTTGTGTTATATCAATATTACCCATATTTTATGAAAATTTTCTGTCCCATCAATAGTACTTATTTTATTTCATGTATTACTTTGTTTTGTAATGTTTTACGCTTTCAGGATAGATATATGCAAAAGTTATGGTACAAAATATTATCGATTGTATTGTACGACAATTGCAAAAAGGAAAAAAAAAGGTTCTTTTTAATCATGTATATTTTATACGATTATTTTGGTAATACATAAATCTCGAATGAACTTTTTAAAGCGGTCTTCTCTACCTCTCCTGCAAACTATCTGCATATGTAGAGAGAGGGTAAAAGATTTTTATATTTTCTAATTATATATAGAGATTATAGAGGTTTTTTTTTCTCGTACATTCATTTTTTAACACAGTTTTCTAATGATTGTATTTCCACTTTAATGATGACCAGTGCCTTCAAACATTTCTCTATGGATTTTATCCCATTTCTGAACATTTTCAGGGGAATATGCTGGAAATAGTGATAACAGATTATACATGTATTCCATTTTTGAACCAATACCTGACCTATACAAGACATACTTACATAACTTTTGTATTTTATAAAATATCGGCAACGATATTCCTACAGCGAATACTGTATATTTAAACAACCAACTGTGCTGCATATAATATTTGAATGGAAATTGAGCAATCTTTCCAAAAAGGGTATATGGATACTTCATAGGACGATATTGTCTGGTTTCAGACATGTTGATTATCTGTAACAAACAAATTCCTATTAATATTGGTTTTTATTTGTATTTGATAAATGTAGATAGCATAATAGTGCTGACGCTGATTATCAATGAAAAATTTCAAATATATTAATCAAATATAATATCAGCTGTACAGGTTACGTATTGGTTATAATCTGAAAAAATTATAGAAAATAATTTATTATGTATGCAGATAAGAAATATGAGAGTAGAGACTCAATATATGATTAATATATATGTAACAATGTCAATATTGATAAAAAAAGGGTTTGGAATGGTGATTTATACAAGCCGTCACAACTCTAACCCTTGAAAAATGACGGACCATGGCAATTTAATTCTATTTATCGTGGGCAATGATGTATATCATAAAACAGAACAATGAATATACACCTGGTATCTTTTTACTTTTAGTTTTCCCTTTAATGATATTCTTAAATTACTCACGAAATTTAATCCTGACGATTTTAATAAAATTATATAATATATCTGTGGTAAGCTTTCGCGAATCACGTAAAAGTAAAAGCACAATATGTGACGACCATAGATAAAATAACTGATATGAGTGGAAACTGGATTTTTTAGGCAAGATGAAATTTGACAAGATTGCCAATTCTGGATTGGCTACGCCATATTGTTTCCCTTATTTTGATATATTCATACGTGAAGATTTGTATGTAAGGAGGTAAGAGCAGAAACATATAGATATACTACAGATTACTTCAATAAAACAAAAATTATTTTAAAACAGCGAGAAATTTTGTTTGCGACTATTTTTGACAAATATATATAATCTTTTGCAACAATCTATGATACCAATTAAAAGTAAAATTAAGATCAGAAATTTTTTTTCTTTCATATTTTTACATGCAATTGCCAGTTCGATCATGCTACGCCATATTGTTTCCCTTATTTTGATATATTCATACGTGAAGATTTGTATGTATGGAGGTAAGCAGAAACATATAGATATACTACAGATTACTTCAATAAAACAAAAATTATTTTAAAACAGCGAGAAATTTTGTTTGCGACTATTTTTGACAAATATATATAATCTTTTGCAACAATCTATGATACCAATTAAAAGTAAAATTAAGATCAGAAATTTTTTTTCTTTCATATTTTTACATGCAATTGCCAGTTCGATCATCAAATTATTGGAATATGAGGAGAAACTAAAAAGCAAATCAAGGATAGACAAAAACAAACTTAGTCACAATGAAAAAAAAAGAATATGTAAGTTTGATTGTAATATCACCATGTAACAAAACTTAAATAATTCACATATATTACAGTCAGAATGTTTTTAAAGATTTATTATTCCCTGTATAACATTCATTTCATCAAAGCGTGCACTACAGCTTTGGCATTCAATGACTTTAAATCAGTGTAAGTTTGGCCAGTTCCAACAAAAACAATAGGCTGGCCAGTAATGTATGTCATTGTGATTGCTGCGCCTACCTACAAATAATATTTATGTCTGTGAAAAATCATATATAAATGTTACATGAAAATTAATAGACATTACATAGGAAAATATATTTATTATATCTCATTATTATATACATAATAAAACTTAATTTTATATTACGATATAAATAATTTCTGTAAGACAAATATCCCAATTCTAGAGAGAGAATATTTCTTAATTGTGTATTCATGTTTTAAAAAAACTTCAAAAAGTTTTTAAAGAGCAAAAGATACGAAAAATATGGTAAAGATTATATATAGGAAAAAACTTACCTTATCATCGATTGTATCAAACTTTGTCAGTACAATACCATCGATAATGTGAGGATTAGCGGACTGACTGTAGTCAGCTAAGGCCTGATTGAATTTCACTAGCTGATCAACAGCTTCATTACCGACGAGAGCCTCTCCGACGAACAATACCAAATCTGGTTCGTTTACCTTTATCAACTTTGCCAGGGCTCGCATCAATGGTTCGTTATCCTGCATTCTACCGGCGGTGTCAACTAGGACTACATCGATTCTAGAATCCTTCGCAAAGCGAATCGCCTCCATGGCGATACCCGCGGCATCCTTACCGTAACCCTTTTCATATAGCTGCACCATTGATTGATTTCTGTGCTTCTCTGGTGGATGCAGGGCGTTCAGATGTCGCATATGCGTCCTCAGTTGCTCGACTGCTCCAGCTCTGAAGCATGAGAGGCATAGATAATTGCCTGCAGTAGAAATAGCAATGAGGAATGTTAATTTTGGATAACTTTGACTTACCTGAACGTATCGCATGCAGCAATTAACACGCGGAAATTGTTTTCTATCAGCCAGAAGCAGATCTTCGCTAGATTCGTCGATTTGCCAACTCCGTTGACGCCGCAAAAAGTCATGACATAAGGTCTATTACTTTTCTGTGCTTCCAAAGCATCTCGTAGAATATCAATTCTCCTTTTGGGCGATAGTATCTGTACCAGAGCATCCGTCAGAGTGGCCTTTATAGTGTTCGCTACGCTATCGAAGGTACCGAGTACCTTTCCCTCTAACTTCGTGCCAACGGAATCACATAATTTCTGAGCGATGTCGGCGGCGACATTCTTAGTGATTAGGTGATCCTTCAATTTTTCCAAGACCGGTAACATACCCTCCTGTTTTAGAGATTTGCTACCGACTAGACTCTTGAACATGGAAAACATACTCGTATTTTTCTTCTGCATTTGCAGTTTGGAATGCTCTATCTCCTCCTGATCGGAATTGTCCTCGGATTCGCTATTCACTTCGAGATCACGTATGCCACCCTTCATTTGTCCAACTAACTAATAAAATAAAGAAAACATAAATAATAGATAAAGCATAAACTTCCATTTTTTTTCTGGCTAAGAATCAGTTGTTATATGTATATATGTATTTCTTTTTTCATGTTCATCTCGTCTATTTTATTTTATTTTATGTATAATTATATTTTTTATGATTCATTATCACAAGAATTAATTTGTTTTATGTACTCAAATTGTTTTTTTTTAAAGACCTTTTAATAACAGATTCTTTGGCAAACTTGAAATCAATTTTTTTCTTTTTAGGAAAAAGTCAAGCCATAAGCGATTAAAAAAGAATAAAGATTCGTTTTTGTGTAGTTAAATTCATATGAAGATATTAGATATCGAAAAAATTTTTAAGACTTTTACACTAATAATAGAAGATAAGAACGGACTTTCCACAAGTGTTAAATGCAAAAGAAAAAAGAAAAAATATTACAGCTGTATTGGCTGCCACATAATTGCCACTTTCTTCAGGCTTGTCTTTTGTTCGCTCCAGTGTAGCAAGATCCTTGGTTGTTCCACCTAATTCCCAAATGCGCGGTTTCTTGCCAGCCTTTTCAGGTTTAGGACTCTTCCTGATATGATATTTATAATAATATGTTACATTGTCATTTAAACAAACTCTCTCTCTCTCTCTCTCTCTGTTAGTTTTATTATTATATAGCAAGTTTATTCGTTTTACTTGCATTTTTAATATAATTAATCTAATTTAATTAATCTAAAAGATTACTTTCTAATAGATTAAGAAAAAAACATGCGCTTACTGCTTGTCAGCTTTCTTCTTCTGACCTGCCATTTTCTGAGCAAGCTTCATACGATTAGCGATTAGAATTTCTTCATCAAGTTCTCCATTATGTTCTGCTTGCTGTTTCAATAAATTTGGCTTTGGAGTTTCTTGAATTTTTGCTGTGATACCAAGGTATAGAATATTTAATTTAACATAAAATGTATATAAAAATAATTTCAAACAAAGGTTACATTTGTATTATTTGTATGTAAAAAATAAGTTAATTAGAAAATATGTGCAACTATATAAAATGATTTGTTGTTGATAGTATAATTAAGAGAGAATAATTCTACATAAAAATATAAGTAAAAAATATGTAACCAAAGTTTTTTTTACACAGAACTTTATCGTTCGTCATGAATATTGATTTTAAAAATCAGAAAATTGATTATACCTTTCATTATTTTACGCATTTAAATAATTCTTAATTACTTTCAAAGTTTTCTACAATATAAATTGTTCCATGTATCTCAACAGCAACTAATATCAACATATAAAAATTCACTATCTTAATAAAAGTAATAATAATAATGATAGAAATAATTGAAATTACTGAACAAGAGTAAAATATCAAGATCATTTTCATTTTTTATAAAACATTGTATTATTATTTGCTTTATGATAATAAATATTTAAGCAAATTTATTGCAATTAGATTATTATAAAAGTAATGTAAGTATAAGCCCCTATTTAAGTATAAATTTTGTTTATGCAAATATTACACATTCCATGCAACAGTATACTACACAAGGTTTTAGTAAATGTCACTTACTATGATAATCCCCATTAGAATTAATTGCCTTCTTCCTTTTACCTAGAAGCAAAGAAAAAAATCCCCGTTTCTTGTTAGTCTTACTGATCGGAAATAAATATATTGGATAAAAAAATATGACTATATAATTTTATAGATTAAATATTATATAAATTTATTTTTACTGTTTTATTTCATATCATGAAGATAAAACCAGCATGATATTTCTATACATCTATTACTACGCTATACTTCTTTCTTTGTGAAAACATTATAATTGTATAAAATTTTTGAAATTATTTTTGAAATCTTTAAAATTTATACGCTTAGCAAATCTAAATAATAGCAAATAAATTTCATCCTCATATTGCACTTTTTGTTAAAGATCATTCAAATTTTAAATTCAAATTTATTTTTTCTAAAAGTAAGTAAAGCTATTTACAATTGTTATTGCATCCAACTTCTCATAAATTGTTACACTGCCAAAGAGCCAAAGGACTGTACCTGGCTTCTTATCATCTTTATCATCTTTTTTCTCGATCATACTAGCAACAGTCTTTTTAGACTTCAGACTCTCGTCAAAGGTGCGCATTTGCTTCGGTATTTTAGCTTGTGTACGTGACCATTGCTCAGCCTGTTCGAGGACTACATGATAGGTATGTTCAAACTCAAAGTTAGTGAACCAGTTCGAGCTCTCAAGCTCATTCTTAAAGCGATCCCTGAACTCTAGATGAATGTCATTCAAGAATTTGTCCACATAAGATAATTGCAATATCTTCTGGTATGCCACTACAAATACCAGTTCGAACTCATTGTCAAGTTTGTACTGCAACCGCAAGGAATCATGCTCAAAGCTATGATTGCCTGTACGTTCCTGAAAATAGATTAAAAAAAAACCATCTCTTTAGAAATGTTATAGGCAATGGCTTTCTAAAATACAAAAAATTTATTTTATATAATATTTAACTTTTTAACTTGATTTAGCTTATTTTTGAAAATAAAGATATATGTTATCGATAATAGTTGAAAAAGATATTTACTATTAATTATTGTTAAAAGATATAATTATTTGATAATAGTTTATTATATATACTGTTAATTTAAATATATACTATTAACGAGTTTTAATCAAATCATTATTAATTCTTAACTTTTGTGATTAAGAAAATATTATCAAAGAATAAATGTTTATTTATTCAAAGAGAAATACAAAAATATTTATTTTACAGAATATGTATCTTTTTAATTTAATTTTCGTTTTATAAGTGCGAATAATGAATCTCTTATAAGATGATTAGTTTTAACAATTCCAACCATATGGTACATTTAATTTATTTTGTGTTCTTATTTTATATACATTTGCAAGTTCTAATAAATATCTACGTATCTTAAAACAATTTTTAAATGTTACAAACAATATTTATCTTTCTTATACTACATGTAAAGCTCTGTTTGTATAAAAACTGAAGACTGAGGAAATGGTAGAGTTTGAAAACGTTAGGACCGATGTATTCGCAAAATTGATATTTTGAAAATAATTGAGATTGTTCGAGTGATTAAATTTAAATATTTAGAAGGTTAATTAAACAATTAGAAAACGAGTTTGAAGGAAAGCGACAATTCGCAATTCAAAAGGGTCAAAGGTCGCTATAGACGTGAAGAAATGCATATTTTGAAACTTGCCTGTAATATGACACCTCTTATCAGGGCATTGACACTGGGCGCAAAAATTTGAGACGTGCTCTGGAAGCACCAGAGCACTATGCCGCCCTTGCTGAATATCGTAAAAAGATCGAGCATGATTTTACAATATTTTAACGAGAAAGGAAAAAAACACGTTCCCCGAACACAATCAACACGACGTTTCAAGCTAACCTATCCTAACCTATCGAGTACGTTTCGCTCATACGTCAAATCCAAAATCATCAAACGTCAGTGCTGTTAACATTACGCCACCGAATCACCAAACTTCTCTATATTTCTAGACATGATTCGTCCAATGAAAGGTGCGCTCGTTCGTGTGGCTAGCCTACCAATAAGAAATTGCCTATAAATTCTGGAAAGCAATATGATCGCTAATGGCCGCCAATGAGAATTCTTCGGTACGAGTTGACATATTGCTCCGAGTTTGATCGAATTCCTTGAATCTGTCGTGACCGTGATCGTGAACAGTCGATGCATCGGATTCATTAATAACGGTCGTGATAAGTTGAATCGGTTCGCGATTAGCATAACGTAGGATGTAGTGCCCAGTTGTCCACGTACGCGATCGTTAACAAGGCCTGTCGAATTTATCCTCAGTTGTGAGTAACGTTATATATTTATTATTCTTCTAATAAGGCTTATTATGGCGTTTTTGAATCGACGCATACTCGATAAACATGCATCGTCCATGGCGGTGCGATTACATCTCGTACTTTATTTACACGTATTCCGGAATCGCCGGACGTCTTGTTCTGATCGAGAACCGAAATAACCGAACTAATTTCAGTTGAATTTTTAATACCACGCAGAATAAAGGCCGATGATTGTATTTCATCAGGATCTTTATATCCGCGTGTTTCTGTAACATCCACAAATCTGAATTCAGCGAAATTATATGCGGTCCTTAATTCCTCCTTTTAAGCATAGCTTCTTTCAGAGGCATGTTTCTTTAACGAAGATATTAAAATTGTGAAGCTTTAATATCAATACAATCGCAACATAAAGAAAATTCAAATTATATCAAGATTGTTTCTACTATTTTTCATTTAATTTTTAAAGATCTCGCTTTAATACTAGAATCGTGAAACAAATGATTGTTATGGATGTTATATCTGAAAAATATTGGTTTTTATATTTTTGAGATATGGTACATATGACATATATAAAATTATTTAAGGTAGAGAGAAACAATATATTGTTTCATTCGTTGATTTCTCTAATCCCACGAGTCATTTCTCAGGAGTCTTATGGCTAATCTGATTCTATTTGTGATCGAGTTATGTGTGATATATTCTGCATTTCTAATGCTATTATATGTTGCAAAAATACTTGTGTGACAGTTTTGCCACACATTGGACAAATCGAAATATATTGCATAATCTTATATGGCTTGTTGTACAACTCGTTAGCCATTTTATTAAGTTTTTATTGTATTATTGAATGTGTCTAAAAAGACTGAGTTGCATTTAAGATTTATAATAAGATTATATTAATAAACAATATACATCTTATTATGCGCATAATGTATAATTGAATTAATCTGATACATATACATGATCTAATATAATTTCTATTATATTTCTCATATGGTTATGTGTATTTTGCAAGAAATTATATGAAACTTGCTTTTTATGTTATATTAGTGTATGATTGGCATTAAAATAGTTAAGATACTTTAATTCTAGTGATTTCCAATACATATTCTCTGATATCTAATGGGAAAATTTGTTTTTTAGGAACAAAAGTATCATGAGAAATTCTAGAAAACAAATTTTTGTATTGGATACTGGATATGTTTCAAAAAATCATCAGAGAAAAGTATCTTAATCTATTTGGGGTCAATTGTATATTATATATACAGGGTATCTGAAAAATTTCTATAGAAACTTTGCTAGCGTATTTGATTAAAATCATACTAATGAAAAAAATGTTATTTAAATAAAGATCTACAAATGCATTCTTTCAGGTTACAGATATTTAAATTACATTAAGCATTATTGGAAACATACTACAATATCTGAATAAATTCTCAAATATACAAACATTATTTATTGTTCAAATACTGTAGCAGAATATAGTTAAATATCAAATAATGATAGAAATGGTATAGTGCTTTTAACACATTATACTCTCTCAAGATGAGATATGTACTATTTGTATTGTTATTTGGTATCTGTTTTTTACATTTGACTATGGTATTTGAGCATTATCAAGTAATAGTTTATTTACTTTATTCAGATGTTGCAGTTTTTCTAATGTAATCTGCAATTCAGAAAGAATGCATTTGCATATTTGTGTTACATTGCTTATCATTATAATGAATAGAATACATTTGTAAAGTTTGACCAGTTATTTTAGGAACACTTTTTGTATATATTTGAATATTCATGGAACATTTACTACAATTTGAGAGAGAGAATGAATTTAATATTATTACCACATATATTATCATATTTTTTTGCTAGAATGATTTAGAATATATAAATTTATTTAACTAATGATTAGAGAAATTATTATTTATGTAAGAGATATATATATTTATTTCTCTATGACATATAAATGTATGGCATAATAATGGTACAATTTTCTATCATGCTTTTTGAAACTGTTATTCGTTAACATTTTGCATGGAAAACTACCAGGCGCATTATAAAATGCAAAAATTATGTTAACACGTGATGTTTATCAACTTGCTGCATTAGATATTGCAGATTTAAATTGCACATTTCCAGACTCTTCTTTGTAAAGAAAGTCTAACAGAATTCTTTTTAATCTGTGCTACTTTATTGCATGATCTTCTTGATACATTGAACAAGATGGATTATAGTCTGGATTTTATTTGTCAGATTATACTTCTGACATAAAATCAACAAAAAAGATGCGAATTTTAATCAAAGATTTATCGATTGATAATATTTATAGTGATATTTATTCATGTTCATATATTTTCATATATCTGTTTATAAAGTGATATTATTATGAGATTTGCAAAAGTTTTATTACTATTTTGACAATTTTTCTAACTGCATTAGCTATGATGCAGTTGCATATCTCATATGTTACTATATAAATATATAAATATATAAATATAAATATATTAAATGTATTTTATATACATATACCAAGTTTGACATTTTATATTGAATATTAAGCAGTTTTGTGAAATAATTGTACTTTTTATTTTTATAGAAATACATTTATATTTATAAGCAAGAATATATACTGATATGCTGCAAAATTTGTTGGCATTAGTATGCCATTATATCTTTTGATATTACAATCAATAGACAATATTTTGATACAGTTATGATACACACACACACACACACACACACACACACACACACACACACACGCGCGCGCGCGCGCGCGCGCGCGCACAATATACACAATTTATCTTTACTATATTTAGCTATTGCCTTTACATCGTGTAAGAAATAAATTAGAGAAAAATTACAAAATGTAAGTGTGCTTGCAGCTACAATGAATAAAACATATAAATTTTTTTTAAACACCAAATAGCCAAAATCCTAGAACGGACTACGGCCTTTAGAGCAAACTAGCAAGTCGTTTGCTAGTCTGACAGGATTCAAAAATGCAAAATTGGAATCAATGGCAGCTGTCAGCTGGTGCTGTTACAACTCCAGTGCCGCAGCCACCAGTTGGCTATGCTGCAGCAGCTGGCGCAGACCCTATAACTTTGATGCAAAGTTATATGCAATATTATAATCAACCAGTAAGTACAAATTTAAGTAAAGATGTTAATTTTATATATGTATAAATAATTTATTAATAAGTTGGTCAAGATTGATTTTTATGTGTGTAATGCATGTAGTTATAATATATAATATAAATAAATAATATAATATATGATATAACTGATTATTGTACATATGTACATTGATCTATAAGAATAAATAAATTAAAAGCAAAGTGAACAAAATAAAATCTATTTTTTTCAGTTTTTTATATTAGAGTGACGTAAATTTTTTTTTTTTTTTTGTTACTGCTAAATTTAATTTTCAAATTACTAATTTTATGGAAAATGAATTGAAAAAGTTTTTAGTTGAGAGAAGTGTGTGTTAAAATCAGTGATCACTCTTTTGATTGATAAAAATTATTTTGAGATTTATTTTTGAAATTTTTATTATATTTTTGTTATTTTGAAATTATTTTTGGAATTATTTCTCTCTCTTAATTTAGTTTTTTTCCTCAATTACGACAGATTTTTAGCATCGATCTAACGAGCTTTTATATTAATCAATTATGGATGATAATTATTTTATAACATTGGCATATATAATATATGATATTAATCTTTATCAGGCACCCAGTGGATATTCACCAGAGCAATGGGCAGCTGCGCAACAGCAAGGCTGGGCTCAATGGCAACAATGGCAACAACAATACCAACAATGGCAAGCACAATATGGCGACAAGGTATAATATAAAAGAGCATATTATTATATGAATAATATTTAATAGATAAGTATATATATATATATATAAATGTAGAAATTATATGTCAGAGGTTTTTGAGAGAGAAATTTAATATTAACAGTTATTATTTATTATTGAAACATTTGTAAGAGATCTATAATTTTTAAGAAATTAATTATATTATTGTAGAAATGTATATGTATACAATGGGCAAAGAAGATATTTGTCTTAATATTTCTTCTTTTCTATGATAATTTTATATAAAAATAATTTTGCTTTGCATTATACCATTTTATACACTAATACCAATGAAATTAATATGGTTTAATAGAAACATTTTGTAACAACACTTTTTTTTTTAATGTAAAATTGTCTCTCTTTTAAAATGGATAAGAGATGTTTAAAGAACTTTCTTAAATAAAAATTCAAAGGTTTAGAAAACTGTATGAAGTTAATAAAAATTTATAGCCCTATTTTTTCAGTTATTTCTACATTAAAAAAGAATTTTACAAAAAGTGCTTTAATTATTAGACATTAATGCATTAGCAAATAATGTATCCTGAGAAAAACTTTATAATGCAATACAATATATTTCTTTCTTATACAAAATTATTTTTTAAAAGAGAGACAAGATATAAATTCTTTTTTTACTTGTTATACATGTTTCCAATTTCTTTTATTTTTTTTTTATTATTTGATAGTATTATATAAAAACTGCAAAAATTTAATTTAATTTTAAATATATTAAATTATATCTTTTATTTATATCATATTAGTACAAATAAGAAC